CTTCCAATTATAAAATAAAGTTAATTACCTTTAATGTTGACAATCTGGCGACTGGCATTAAAAAAAAAAGATTTCTGTCGAAAATAATAATAACAATTATTAAACTAGAGGGCACGATTTTCATTTAAATTTGACGTTCAAGTTTAGTACCAACGCTTTCCATTGGTTAATTTTTTTGGAAAGAAAGCTCTGCCTGTAGAAATTGCCCGTTTTCTTCGTCCCTTTTCGAATCTTACCGTTGCCTTGAAAGGTCGACTCTGGCCGAGGGGGCAGCCATCTTCCTCAACTGTGATCACACTGATCGCCGTTCTCGTGAAGAAAAATATCTTATCGGCCATCAGGCACTATTTTAACGAAGATTTCTGTCGAAAATAATAATAGCAATTATTAAACTAGAGGGCACGATTTTCGTTTAAATTTGACGTACCAGTTTAGTACCAACGCTTTCCATTGGTTAATTTTTTTTGAAAGAAAGCTCTGCCTGTAGAAATTGTCCGTTTTCTTCGTACCTTTTTGAATCTTGCCGTTGCCCTGAAAGGTTGACTGTGGCCGGGGAGGGCAGCCATCTTCCTCAAGTGTGATTACCATTCTCGTGGAAAAAGTACCTTATCGGCCGTCAGGCATTATTTTAACGAAATAAACTTGCGTAGGGCAATAATCCATTGATTACCGAAAAAATTTAAATAAACTCTCGTGATTACCTTTTATTTAAGTTTGAATTTCGAACCCCCTCGTGGGTTTTACCGGGGAGCAGTTTTTTTTTACCGTTGTGCCGTTTTTTCCGAGGAGCGTTTCTCCGAGGAGCCGTTTCACTCAACGAATCTATTTCCAAAAGACCACATTTTCAAAAGAACGCCATTTTCGTGGAGCGTGGCATAGAGTTTTTGAAGGGATCTAGAGAAATCAAGTCCCTCACGTATTGACTCCTGTACCTCCACATTTGACGACAACTGAGAACTTCTAGTCTGTATCTACCTTGATTCGAGGCTTGAATCTGCAACTTCCATGTGCAGCTTCTCTCGTCAAGTGACCAAAAAGGGATGGCTACTGACTACCGTACTCTACCTATTGTTGGAATTGAGGCTTGTATAGAGTTTCAATTATAACTTTTATTACCTTTTTTTTATGAAATCTATTTTATGATTAATTACCATAATTGATTATTTTTACTTACATACACATTTAAAATCTCTCATTCTTGACACCGAGGTGATGGTGGAATAATTAATTTTTGATTTACCGTATTTATTATAGATTTATCTTGACTTCACCTTTGGTACCGCAATTTAAAAAAAAATATCTTTCATCAAACATAATTAATAATCTGAGCTGAGATCAAGATTGGACAACATGTTTGGAAATTATTGAGTAAGGACTTATAACGCCAAAAATTGATCAATTTTTCATCTGGGTTATATTGCTTATAAACCTGAGGATTTCACTTATATCTCCTCTATCCCTTCAACGTTTAACCTTTGATTTCATACAGTTTAAATTTGATTTTACTGATTTTATTCTCTGATAGTAGCTGACCATAATATTTATCTAAATATATAATATTATAATTTTCAATCATTCACTTTGTTTGTTTGAAATTAGTTTTACTCCAAACGTCAAAAAAACGTCACTTTGTCATCACTTGTCAAGATGTTAGAAATTTAATTTCTATGCTGCTAGGCAAATCCAGCGGGTTAACACCTGTCGAGGCAGCAGCAGCAGCAGTATTGCAAGCGTCACTACGTTCGGCTTGCAAACCTACTGCTTCAGCACAAAAAAGTAAAGCTTCTACTCCTAATACAACAATATATAGTCTGGGAGTTAACGACATATTTCATTGTACCATTTCCGCAAGCTTCATTATTTTTGTATGTGTTATGCGTGTAGTATACCCGGTGTTTTTCAAAACCCGCTCACCCCTATAACTTTTTTATTTTTTCAAATAAACAAATGAAATTTGGTGTGTTTATTTATGACTCGGATGTGCAATATTTGACGTATTCAATTTTTTACTATCACTTCCGGTTTGACCGGAAGTGACCCTAACTTCCTTATTTTAAATGAGACGCCAGGTAAATTTTTCCTCATGTCAATAGAAAACTACATTACGAGTACAATGATACCTCATTTGTCACTTTTTGACATTTCACCTCCAAATTATTTAAATTTTTACTTTTTAATCTAGAGCGCCATGAATAAGTTAAAATGCTTAATTTTGCTCCTAGAAACATGGGAGAATTTGTTTTGAGCTTATTTTGAATTTTATATCCTCTAAAGGCTCATTTAAAGTTAGTAGCAGCGCATTTTCGGAATTATATCAATTTTTTCAAATGGAAAGGGTATGGCTCATCAGCATATTTCGAGAGAGAATTTTCTAACCAACAATTCAGTACCACACAATCGCTAGTTTATTCAAATATTGAACTAAAATTTTCCAAAAATATTTAGAATGCTGGAAAAATTCTTAATTTGAGTGATGAACTAGCGATTGTGTGGTACTGAATTGCTCGTTAGAAAACGCTCTTTTGGAACATGCTCATGAGCCATACCCTTTCCATTTGAAAAAACTGATATAATTCTAAAAATGCGCTTCTACTATCTTTAAATAAGTCTGTAGAGGATATAAAATACAAAATAAGATCAAAACAAATTTTCCCATGTTCCTAGGAGCAAAATTAAGCATTTTGACTTATTCATGGTGCTCTAGATTTAAAAGTAAAAATTTAAATAATTTGGTGATGAAATGTCAAAAAGTGACAAATGAGGTGTCATTGTACTCGTAATGTAGTTTTCTATTAAAATGAGGAAAAATATACCTAGCGTCTCATTTAAAATAAGAAAGTTAGGGTCACATCCGGTCAAACCGGAAGTGATAGTAAAAAATTAAATACGTCAAATGATGCACATCCGGGTCATAAATAAATACACCAAATTTCATTTGTTTATCTGGAAAAATAAAAAAGTTATAGGGGTGAGCGGGTTTTGAAAAACACCCGGTATGATAGTGATATGATCGTCTGCCGGCGCACCAACACGACAGGGGGTTACAGGAGGGTTACACTTACAGCAAAAAATGAACGAAAAAACCTTATAGCCGCATAAGCGAAACTTATTGTACATATTGGTAGAAACTTAGAAAGCTCAGAAAATATGGTCTGCCACCTAAATTCCACGACAAAAGTCGTCTGCCACCCACATAAGTGAAAAATTTAAAAAAAAAATATACCCGCAAGGCTGAAATTAATTATTTTCACAGTGAGTTTGACAAGTGTCAAAAAGAGAAAATAAATATTCCAAGTGAAAATTTTCATTTCCATTCTGAGTGTATCCTTCTATAATCTCTTTAAGAACTCTAGAACATTAGACTTGAGCTTTTCACAATTCATTTTGGTTAGCCTTACAAAAAAATAAAAAAATAAACAGGAATAAGAAAAAAATGCAGCGTCCTAGCGGTGGTGCTCGGGCACTGCATGCCGAACCCAACTTCATAGGCTTGGCAGACGATCTTCGTTGTATCTTATTCATGGCAGACTATTATGTTTGTGTTTGTTTCCATAAAAAGAAGTATTTTAATTAATTTCAGCCTTACGAGTATATTTTTTGTTTTAATTTTTTTTTTGCGCTTACTTATGTGGGTGGCAGACGACTTTTGTTGTGGAATTTAGGTGGCAGACCATATTTTCTGAGCTTTCTATGTTTCTACCAATATGTACAATAAGTTTCGCTTATGCGGCTTTAAGTTTTTTTCGTTCATTTTTTGCTGTAATTGTAACCCTCCTGTAACTCCCTGTCGTGTTGGTGCGCCGGCAGACGTTCATATTACTATCATATACTACACGCATAACACATACAAAAAGAATGAAGCTTGCGAAAATGGTAGAATAAAATATGTCGTTAACTCCCGGACTAATACTATTTCTGGAAACTTAAATCTATTATATTTTCATTTCATGATAATGATATTGCCAGCGACTATTGATGAATTTATATGGCAAGTATATTGAGGTACATTATCTTTTGTTGTTTTGAATTTGATGAAACAGATGAGAGTTAACCTCTATCTATTAATTTTATTTGAAGTGTTCCACCAATAATGGATTTTGTCTTTTAAAATTTGATGCTTGATTTTTGAGTGTGAAAATATACACTAATTTAATTTGAAACTCACTTAATTGTTTTATTAGTTTTACCTATGTCAGGATTTGGTTGAGTTATGTGCCCTATTTATTTCCTTTCCAGAGTTATCAATAACTGTCTGCAGATGCAGAATATTTTTTTAGGTGTGTTTTTGAATTTTCACCCTTCCATATTTTATGTAATTTTTTTTTTTTTTTTGTTTTTTCAATTCAGTGGTGCCCTTGCCACTCTGTACTTATTAAACTATCAACCCACCCCTAATAATTATTTGCTAAGCAAACCGAGCATATTATGGGCCTCTTGTTAATTCATTAACAAAAGGGGTTACACATTATGAAATAGCCAATCAGCCAACGTCATATTTGAATACATTTTGTTTGAGTAAGTAATTATTTCACAAGAGAATGTTTATTCGCGATCAACTTTTTGTTTACCTTTTTTGACAGAATTTTAACACAAACATTCTAACATTTCATAATAAATAGAACTCTTTGTTGTTGGCTTTAATCGTAATAATTCAGGAAATAATCAAGCCGTATACCACTCGACCTATAAATTTAAATGAATTAAACTATCCAAATATTTTTTGCATATTTTTGCTTTCTGGCAAATAGTTTCATGCACTTTTAAATAAATTATTTATTATTGTGCATTCAACTATTTTCCAAGGAAAATCATGCTCAAAATATGTTGGATAGTTTAATCGATTAAATTTAAAGCTCTTGTAATGTAATATATGAATATTATTGGTCCATAAAGGATTTATTATTATTGATTATTAAAATTTAACTAAAAAATGCTGAAGTTGACTTTTATAATCATTAGGATCTTTGTATCTCAAAGAACCTAAGTATGTCTAATTTTAGGTTTTTGATAAAATTCACATTCAAACGGTTATTGCAGTCGTGACCGTTACAGTAAAAACATTGCCTCAAGAAGCTGTCAGGAACTCAGGTTCGATGAGAATTGCTGGTACAACAGATGAGCAGTTTATTAGTGTATGGGACCACAAATTACAGGTGATTTTTATTTATTTTTTTAAAATAAACTACCCACAAGCACTTTAGTACTTGATAGAGGACGTAAGTCGCCTTACGCAGGCCAAGCAATATGGTGTCTGGATGGAGATTGGATGGGTGACTGCAGTAATATTGAACGATAGGTCGCCCGCACTGCCGTCAACCATCTAGTTTCCAAGTATGAATGGAAAGGAGTAGAGTCCTCAAGGCTAAAGTGTAGAATATGAGCTCGAGAGGCTTAGTGAACAAACCCACATCAGGATATGACAACTGATTCAGATTCCATTCATTTTTCAGGCGAAGCACAAATCTAAAGCCCAAAAGTTTAGAGAAAAACTAGCGGAATTGCTCAATGTAAATACAAAAAATATAGAGGTATTTAGTGTTCAACTTCGCCAAAAACAACCACCAGTGACAGATATTAGATTTTCGGTTCAAGAAAACTTTGACTATTATAAAGCTGTAAGATTGAATGGATTAGTGTTGATGTTTCAGAGGGAAATTGAAAGAGTTGTTGGAATCAACATAACCATGGTAAGTTGGCAAACACGATAGGTAGTGTTCCATATGATTTTTAGAGTACATTAAGTTCGCCTATTGACAATCCTTTTTGCAATGGGTAGCTCCATCTTAGGCATAGAAATTGATATCGATTTCAAATTTTGGGGATATATATGTATAATATAGAGCTGTCACAAATACTGGAAAATAGTATTTCAAATACCAAGTATCAATTACGGCAAATTCGTGTTGCAAGTACAAATACTAAATAATTTCAATTTGAAAAGTATTTCAAGTTTCAATTACTTTAATTTAGTACTTGATTTTTTCAAGTAAAATAATTGAAATACTCTGTAAGTATTTCAAGTACTTAATTAAATATTTGAAATACCCATGTTGTATTTGAAATAATAAGAAGTACTTCAAGTACCCACTAAAAAGGAATTCAAATTATTCAAGGAAACATTTTAAATTCTGTGGGCGAAGCCAAATTTTTCTATCGATAGGTGGAAACACCTATAGGTACCTCGCTCGCTACAAAAGCCGCTTGGCAAGCTGGGTTTGAAACCTCCTCAGAAAAATTCGTAAGAATTTCCAATTGCTTAGGTTCCACCTTCTTGTCGGAATATCTACGTAAATACGCTTACGATTTATCAATAGTAATATAACTAGTGCAATGGAAATTATTGATAATTTTTGGGAAATTTGCCCGAATGCATTTTTAGTTGAAAAAAAGCACGAGTGCACGAAGTATTTTCAGTTAAAAACGCATGAGTGCAAATTTGTCGAAAATTATAAATATATTTCCATTGCACGAGTTGTATTTAATGAGAGAATTTCATAAATCAAAAATTTAAATTTTTTGTCAAAAAATGTCAAAACACCAGTTTTCGCACCAGTTAGTATGCAATTATCTGATAATTTGCACTAGTGCAAATTATCGCGTAATTAAAATCTGATTGGTTCAAATCAACAATCAAAACATGTCAGTTCATTGTTGGAATACCAGTTTTGACAGATGTATGAAATTCTCAGTTTAACATATTTTTTTCAACAATAAACAAAACAGAGTAACTTTCCGATTTCAATCGGCCCTGTTTCCAGGGCAACTTTGACATTCATATAATTAGTAAATAGAAGAAGCTTATGTTCAACCTGAAAGGATGGACATATCTCCTAATGTGGACGACTTCCTATTGATGGAGTTCACATCCCAATTTCTGGCTGAATATGCGGGTGATAAATACTATATCGTATGATATACTATATACTTACAATGAAAGTTTAAAATGTCTAAATCAGTATATACCTGTGTTTCTAATATGAAAAAATTATCAAGTAAATATTTGTTGACATTTCCTATCGTTTCAGACTAAAAATGCCGGGGTTACATTATGTTTTCATTGCAAAAACGCACTGTCACAAAGTTACCCTGCAGCACGGGGTAAAATTGGGACAATTTCAAATTAAAAAAAGGTTGAATTATCATTATTTTTTCAATTTTCTAGAATTGCCAGTTTGTATAGCGAAAGAACGGATATACATGTAGGTACATGGTGTATTTTTTTTTTCAGAATTTTATATGGCAAAGAAGCGTTCGAGAATTTCAAAAAACCTCAAAACAAGTCACAAAGTATCCCCGTTTTACGGTACCTCTAAAAAAGAACTACAGAGATTCTAAATTATAAGATTCCAGTTGCAGATTGTAGTTATAGTATAGGAGCTGGCAGGTTTTTCGGTGAACGATATTGATCAAAATTTTTATTAATTAATCATGATTGAGGGTTACCTGGACATACCAAAACTGACCGTCTGCCGTTTCAGGGTGGCAGCTTTAATCGTGGGTTAAATTTTAAAAAGGGATGAATTTTCATTTTGGTGAACGATTTTGATCAAGATCCAAATTTTCGGAAACGAATTAACAGTTTGAGGACTTATCAATATTACACAGGCAGACGATTTGTTTGACAGCATTACTTCGGCAGACGCCTGTCAAATTTGTAATTTTCAAGTTTTAGTGAACGACATTGATCAAATTTTGTTTTTTTGCAAATCGATTCCTTTACTAACGTATTCTCAGAAAAAATATCGGCAGACGAAAAAGACGGCAGCGTTTTTGTGGCAGACGCTGGAATAGTGACAAGTTGATTTATGGTAAAAAATACTGATAATAGCTGATATTCGTGAAAGCGTTAGAGCAGCTCTAGTGTATTCAAAATTCAAATAGGCAGAAGATTTATTTGACAGCAAAATTTTGGCAGACACTATTAAATTTTGTCATATACAGGGTGTCCCAGCCGAGAGTGACCCATTTGAAATGCTTATAACTTCTAAACTAGTTGTGCTAGTGACCTGCAGTTTGCGCCATTGGACTTCTCCTGGCCTAAAGTTTTTTTTAGTAGGTTACAAATTTTCTTGCCTCTCATACAGGGCAATTAAAAAGAATCCACTTTTCAACATCGAAATTCTCCACTATCTTTAATACAACACCCTGTATATCACAACGTCAAAAAAAAAGAGTCATGCTAAAGGTATCCATTAACCAATTAGCATCATCCTTGAAACTTAAAGTTTTAGCCGTAAAAAAATGAAATCTAAATCCTTGTATTTTAGCATAAGCATGGCAGCTTCATGTTGTATTGTATGTATGGAAGTGGAGAGGCGTGATTATTCAGAAACATGATTCTATTGGTTAGAGCTTGAACGACAGCACGCAGTGGCGTGGTTATTGGCGAAACTAGTAGGCATTCCAGGTCACATGACTTTTGACAGGTCCGCCATATTAGCTGAGGGGCCAACAAAGCCTATAGATCATTGTTTACAATGTTTTTTGAGTTTGTGCTTTGGAATTTTTGCGTTTTTTGATTTATTCAATAAATTTTAAGTTGTTTTTAGTTTTTGTGAATGAATGGAATGAATGAATGAATCTTTATTTACAGACATGCCACTTTACATTTCAATTCAACAATAGTAAACAAAAAATTTATTAACAAAAATAATGCTTAAGAATCTAAATTGTTTAAAAAATAAAAAAGTTTGATACTAACAACCTTACAAATAAACTTTAGCAAAATAGATTTGTGGTAGAATGACTCCTCAAACGCTTTGACTGTTCTGATCGGTGCACAGATCTGGCATGTAGCTTAGCTTACTGGCTTGTTCATTCTGGGCTTCTATCAATCATCGTAGTATATCCTAAATTTGAACTGGGGACCCAATCCGGATTGTTTGTATCCTTAAATTCTGCTGGACTACCTAAAAGGTATTAAAAGTTACCTATATACTTGTAGAAACATAAACAACTTCTTTGATGTACCGAGATGAATTTTTTTTTGTATTTTAACAACAAGACAGTCATAATACTTACCATTAACAAAATGTTTTGAACAAATACGAGCATTTTTCAGAAACGTTTCAGTTAAATCTCTCCTTTTGAGGCATTTAATCCACAGATTTCGTCGTTCCTTTTTTAGCTCGTTTAGACGATTCCCTAGATCTCTTAATGCTGCTGGGATCCTGAAAAACCTTTCTTTATCTCTTTCCGCTCTACTAGAGCACCCAACAACGCAGCAAAAAGAAGGCATCTTCACAAAATAGATTGAAAATACTTGGTTTAACATTGAATCAGGTTATGTTTGGCTTTTCTGTGCCCCCCAAGCTAATATGGCGGATCGGTTATGACATTAACCTGGAATGCCTAATAATTTTATTGGTTTATTTCCTTGGTGTTTTCGGTGCCACTGAACTCAAAGACATGGCTGTCATCAGACGGTGTCAGTTAAGGTGTCAGTGAATATTTTTAGGGAACGCCCCAGTTTTCTTCCCCCTTTCGTCTCTACCAAGTTACCACTTGCCAGACTATAGGTATGTACCTACTTGCTATCACTATGGCAAACAATTTTTAAATGTGTGTGTAGATGGACATCAACTAAGTTAAAATAAATTGTCCACGAGAACTTAACAAGTTCCAGTGAGAATTAGCGAGATACCCCAAAAGTAACAGTTTAGCGTGGAATCTCTGTTGAGGAAAAATACGGAAATAACATCTGTAAATAAGTGGTTTAAATTAATACAATTAAATATAGTCAAACACTTATAAACTTAATAATAATTAAACTTTGAGACTTAACATTTAACAATATTCTTAAATAACGCGATTTAATTTTTTTTTACCTACGTTTTTTAAAATGGCTTATTATTACACTAGGTTTACAAATTCTCAGTAGTATTATTATTGCGTAAAGTAACTTTTTTTTATCAATTTTCACCTATAAATACCATAAAAATATTTCAAACTTAGTTTTAGTTTCGTAGAAAAAAAAAATCAATTTTTTCAAAAAAAAAAATACAGAAACTATACATTTTTTACTCATTTGCGGAATGGCGACGTGGTTTTTTCGCTGCTCTCTTATATTCTGCTTCTGGAACATCTCGACAAACAGTCCAGCAATAATCCGCCAATATGGCAAGATTTCACTTGCCCTGAAATCGTTTTTCCATGATTGCGATGTCCTTATGGAAGCGTTCTCCATCGTCACTCAATGCCCAAAAGTTGTCTGGAAAGAAGTCTAAATGTGAATGTAAAGAGTGGATTTTCAGGGACATGTTGCAACCTAGTTCTTGATACGATCGTAACATATTTCCAATTAGTTCAGCATAGTTGTCGGTCCTCTTATTTCCTAAGAAGTTTTTTGCCACAAGACGAAAGTCTTCCCAGGCTTCTTTTTCTGTACCTTCCAAAACACAGTCAAAATTATTATCTTTAAATAGTGTTCTAATTTGAGGACCGATAAATATACCTTCGCTTCAGTTAATCTTGGAAATTTCTGACGAAGGTACTGAAAAGCAGCTCCATTTTTGTTCATTGCTTTTACGAAATTTGTCATAGGCCCTAGTTTAATATGCAACGGTGGCAATAATACTATTTGTGGGTCAACTAAAGGGTAATTTTTTTGCCCAGGTTGAAGTGACTGACGATGACGCCAGACCTTTTTTATGTAATGCACATTTCTATCTCGACTATCTCATTCGCAGATAAAACAACAAAATTTCGTGTAGCCCATTTGTAGACCAAGCAGAAGAGCTACGACTTTCAAATCTCCACAGATTTGCCATCGATGTTCATCATACTTAATCTGCAATAAAAGGCTTTTCATATTTTCATAAGACTCTTTCATATGGACTGCGCGACCAATAGGAATCGACGGTAAAATATTCCCGTTATGTAGTAAAACAGCTTTTAAACTTAGCTTAGAGCTATCTATGAAGAATCTCCATTCGTTTTGTAGATAGAAAATATTAAGTGCTCTCATCAAACCACTGACATCTTCACAAAAGCTAAAGTGTCCACCCTAGCAAAATATTGCATCAACTCTTTTTGTCTAGTACGGAAAGAAGTTTCGGCCTATAAATTCTGTTTTGCTCTTTGGCAATGCTTAGTCCTTAACGAGATCGTTTAACTCAGCTTGCGTTATCTTGTGTGACTGTGATGATGTACTAGGTGCTTTGAAATCTGACATTGATAAAGTTCATGGTGAACTGTCTGTGCTTTCATCTTCTTCGTCGTTGCCAATGTCAGGACGCTCCGGGATTGAGTGAATATTGCTGTGCGACAGAGGACGAGTAGCCGTTGGTATTACATTTGGATATAAGGTACTATGGCTAGGAATGGCAGTGTTTGCCAAAGTGATAGCAAGTACAGTACATACCTACAACATGAAGCTGCCATGCTTATGCTATAATAACAGGATTTAGATTTCAATTTTTTACGGCTAAAACTTTAGGTTTCAAGGATGATGCTTATTGGTACATGGATACCTTTAGCATGACTCTTTTTTTTGACGTTGTGATATACAGGGTGTTGTATTAAAGATAGTAGAGAATTTCGATGTTGAAAAACTGATTTTTTTTACTCGCCCTGTATGAGAGGCAAGAAAATTTGTAACCTACTAAAAAAAACTTTAGGCCAGGAGAAGTCGAATGGCGCAAACCGCAGGTCGCTAGCACAACTAGTTTAGAAGTTATAAGCATTTCAAATGGGTCACTCTCGGCTGGGACACCCTGTATATGACAAAATTTAATAGTGTCTGCCAAAATTTTGCTGTCAAATAAATCTTCTGCCTATTTGAATTTTGAATACACTAGAGCTGCTCTAACGCTTTCATGAATATCAGCTATTATCAGTATTGTTTACCATAAATCAACTTGTCATTATTCCAGCGTCTGCCAAAAAAACGCTGCCGTCTTTTTCGTCTGCCGATATTTTTTCTGAGAGTACGTTAGTAGAGGAATCGATTTGCAAAAAAACAAAATTTGATCAATGTCGTTCACTAAAACTTGAAAATTACAAATTTGACAGGCGTCTGCCGAAGTAATGCTGTCAAACAAATCGTCTGCCTGTGTAATATTGATAAGTCCTCAAACTGTTAATTCGTTTCCGAAAATTTCGATCTTGATCAATATCGTTCACCAAAATGAAAATTCATCCCTTTTTAAAATTTAACCCCCGATTAAAGCTGCCACCCTGAAACGGCAGACGGTCAGTTTTGGTATGTCCAGGTCACCTTCAATCATGATTAATTATTAAAAATTTTGATCAATATCGTTCTTCAATTTAACGATTTAAAATTTATCTAGTATATTGAGTAGAAATGCCCAGTATTTGAATTACTTTTTTTGTAAATCCAAGTACCAAATACAAATAGTTTATTAAAAGTATTTGCAGATTCAAGTACAAATATCCAAAAACAAAAGTATTTGAATTATAGTACTTCAAATACTAAAAAGTAATTGAAATACATTTTCCAAGTAATTTACTTGAAGTACTGACAGCTCTGGATAATAGATATCGATGCGAAATTCCAGCAGAAAAACAATTGACTGTTGTTTCCGGTTCAAGCCGAAGTGCCATCAACTTCTTTATTTCAAATAGGTCAACCCCCTATATGCTATATTTTCATATTTTTGGATTTACGAGAAATTCTAAGCAAATTTTATGTATAAGATCCTATAGATAGGTACCTACATTTAATATTTTTCGAGAAAATCGCGATTAAAAAAGTTTCGATCTATATTTTTGAGTTTATATTACTGCCGGTCAAAACCGATGCGACAGACAATTTTTGTTTTTATTTTGTGCTAAAATTTTTCATCAATATCCATTTGAAATCGATAAAGATTTTCATTTCTAACCTAGAGTTTTGTAAGTAATATCCGTAATCACCTGGTATAGTTCTAAGCTGCTCCTCACAAAATAGGGTATTTTATTATTGCTCACAAATAAATAATAAATTTTCTATTATTAATCTATCTGTTAGGACATGAAAATCCAATGCGAGAGCACCAATGACATCTTAACACAGATAGACACCGCATCTCATTCATAAACTGATGTTTATTGTGATGACATGACCCCCCATGGGCCAGGAGAGGTGAGCTGCCCGAGGGCGGTCATGGTAGGGATACATCACTGGTGTAAACAATACCCGCTTTCCCCTCTGAACCCGCCATTCACTTGACAAAAATAATGAAGAAATGTCACGGGTGCAACTCGTTTATCTATCTGTCTGCCTCTAACTCTTGTGATATAGGTTTGATGGGCGAGTTGACATGCCAGTCGATTGCAGCATGTGTTCCGCCTGTTTTACAAACCGGCGTTGCCAGTAGTCGTTTTTAGTCTTGAGGCTCCAACTTTTTGAAGCAAAGTCATAACAGGATAAAATATCAATCCCTAACAATTTGGCAACCAAATTGGATGGGATACACCGGTGGTGGATTGCTCTCCTAGATGTTGGCGAAATAAAATTTTGTTTACTCTAATGTCTATCTATGTTAATATGTCATTGAAGAGCACATTATCCCCTGTCTTTATAATGGAGCCGAAGGTTATTCTTGTTGAAAAACTTTTCAATGATAATGATAATAATATGTTGAATAAAAGATATTCATCGTTTATAGCCTTTTTTATGAAGTTTCAATTAATAATGGTTAATTAATTGAAACTTCATAAAAAAGGCGGCTCAGTTGATCTCTTTGAAGTCACGTGGGAATCCATAGGCGTCTAAATATTATTATCATGACTAATGAAAACAAATTGGTTAATAAAGAATAAACATACTCCAGATATTTCTATAAAAACTGAAATGACGAACGCCATTGCCCCGAAATTCTAGCTGATTTACCTCTAGAATACAGTGGAGTTAATACATTAAATAAATGGGCAAAATTCATATAGTAGGTAATCCTTAAAATTCCGTTTTAAACTATTGAAATAAATCAAATATAAATATTTGAATGGGAATATTATTCCTTTATTAAAAATTCAAATTTGAAATTGATTTTTATTCAATTATCTGTGTAATTTTATACTTTTGTCCACTTCTAAAGAGAATATCTCACACTGTCAACAAGAGCGGCTCAGCTTTGTCGGCAAGCATAAAGCCCAGCGGCATCGCCGACAATTTTCAAGTTTTTTTGCCGGCGTGCGGTGTCTTTGTTATAGTGTACCAGGACTAGGCATAAAAATTTAAAAATTATTTTATATTATTATAAGGGGTATTTTTCTAATTTTGAGTAGTCACCATAGAGATGCGATTTTCAATTGATAATGGTAATACTTTACACACATTTTTTTTTCCATTACAGCTTGGAATTGATGAGTGTCTATATGAAAATAACATATGTGAAGGTTCCTGTACAAATAGATTAAACATAACTGGCGCGCCATACTTGGTAAGTAAATGTCCGATGATCTGTTTTTTTTTTTAACTTTGTTAACCTTTTATATTTTAATTATTATAACTGAATTATGTGTTTAACGTTTTTTATAGGTCAATGCAAATAAGACAGCATTAGTGAGCATAAAATTGAACCCTGTTGCGGAATGTATCTGTGCTGCGAGACATTCCTTTAGAGAAAGAATCTGCAAGAATTCATTCTGTTCTGATAAAGGCACTTGTACTGGAAACTCTGGAATGTGCTCTTGTCCGGATGGGTAAGGAGCATATTTTGTGATATTGTGTTCACCAAATGGCCTGGGCTGGGACTCTGTAACGGATAGAGATCGTTATCCCTATCGCTAAGGCACTTGCTGTCTTCTTCTCTCTCTTCGAAACCAATAGAGAGGGAACGTCAATAGAGATAGAGAAAAATATCTTTATTCGTTACAGAGTCCCAGCCCTGGAATCTCTCGAATTTCTTATTAAAAATTGACTTTCACTGAGTGGGACCGAAAAATTGAATTATTGATAGTTCCGGTACTAGTGGTATTTGGACCGATGGACAGATGGTAGATGGGTAGTTTGAACCGCTCCTTTTCAGGGCGAACCTGTCTTGATAAAATAATTCACGAGGTTCAAATGTCGGCACTCCGAAATATCATATTACTGATAATGCATTTCAGCCCTAACTATTAGAAAACCAATTTTCAGATCCACCGTGCCCAGGTGCCAACAAACCTCAAGAAGTTTCCGCGGCAACGGATGGGCTTGGTTCCCGTCATTGGAAATGTGCAACAAAAGCCATTTGCATTTTGAATTTGTGACTAAAATAGCTGATGGACTACTATTGTACAACGGACCGATCGGTCCTCCAAAAAAAGACAGTATTATTTTATCAGATTATATAGCAGTCGAACTAGATTGTGGCTACCCAAGGTTCCTAGTGAATTTTGGTTCAGGAACTTTGGAATTAAAAGTAAAAACGAGAAAGACTTTGGACGATGGAGAATGGCATAGATTAGATTTATATTGGGATAGGGAAAATGTGAGAATAGTTGTGGATCATTGTAAATCAGCATATATAGGTGAGTATACACATGGGTATGTGGACATGATTTAAAAAACCTCCATAAGAAAATCTAAGGTTCGTTCTGGCAATTTTTCTATCATTTTGGAGTGGGGGTAAAACTTCCAGGAATAAGCCCCACCCCTTTCCAGTGCCCGTGACTTCGATCGTTCAGGGTTATTGACCGTACCTGACCCGAAGCAGCTTATCGAACCCACATAGCACCTCGTGACTTGGTACCTCATTCAAGGTGCCTCGTACTAATGATGACGTAACTAATAATAAAATCCGCCTCGTGCTTTGTCTAGTTTCAGATGCAAGTTGCACGAGGCTGGAGTCAATAGACCTGTATAGCTGTATACAGACCTGTCTAGAGATAGGTCTGTATACAAGTCACGAGATGCTATGTGTGTTCGATGAGCCGCTTGGAGCTTGGTACGGTCAATGACCCTGAACGATGGAAGTCACGGGCGACGAAAAGTGGGTGGGGCTTATTCCTGGAAATTTTACCCTCACTCCAAAATGGTACAAAAATTGCCAAAACGGACCTAAGATTTTCTGGTGGAGATTTACATGGGAAAATGCCCGATTTTGCGCTAGAATCGGTGTTGATTTTGCGCTAGAATCGGTGTTGCGCCTTTACTTGAAACAATCCAATTTCCTCAAGTAACCGCACTCTGTTTTCATACTTCAAGTGGAATTAGAAGATGGTAACGACCCAGAATTCGATGATAGCAGCTGTCAAGCCCAAGGAACTATGCCCCCATTTGATGAGTACTTGAACCTCAATACACCTTTACAAATGGGTGGTATTTACGCTCAGGAGTTCGACCCCAACACCTATAACTGGCAATACGTGCCAGTTGGCAAGAATTTTGATGGTTGTATAAGAAATCTATTTTTGAATTCTAAGTTATATGACTTGGCCCACCCTGGTTTCTTCAGGCATAGTATGTCAGAATGTCCTCAGACCGATGCTGTGTGCCATGGCTCTGATACAACAAGGTAAGGATGCTTCAGTCTGTCACAAATATAATATTTTTTTTTGCTAAAATCAAAAACAAATAAAAAAATTGCCAAGTTTTAACTTTGAAAATGTATTGACTGTTGAAAAGTAAATGATGCAGATTGCTCTATTTGATTTTGAACCTCAGTAGCATTTTGAAAGTGAAGCTAATTGTCTTTTCAGATGTTGGCAACACGGAAGTTGCATTGGCAATATGAACGAACATGAATGTCTGTGTCTTCCCGGTTGGACTGGATCTTCTTGTTCTATACCTACAGTACCTACAACATTCGGATCACAATCATACATCAAATATGCTCTCAGTTTTGAACTAGACAAATTTTCCACGCAAATCCAATTACGGTTTAGAACTCGCGAAGGTGACGGTGAACTATTTCGAGTGTCCGACCAACACAGTCGCGAATATGCTATCTTAGAGATTAAAAATTCCCGGTTACGGTTTCGGTATAACCTGAATTCTTTGAAGAAAGATGAGAAGGATATTTGGATAAATACAGTAACAGTTAATGATGGACAGTGGCACTTTGCTAAAGTATCGCGGTATGGAAGTGAAGCATCATTAGAACTTGATAGCGGTGAAGGACAAAGATACAACGAAACGCTTAATAATTTCAGTGGACATCAGTGGTTACTAATTGATAAGCAAGAAGGCGTATATGGTGGAGGAAAGGCAGAGTATACTGGTGTTAAAACTTTTGAAGTATCTGGAGGTTTCCAAAAAGGTATTTTGAGTGCACGTCAATAATGCATTATAATATAGTCTGTCTCGAAATTAAATATATTTACATTCCTAAGTCAAAATTTTAGGGAAAAGATTGGCAGTAGCCAGTTTTTGAGGGTGAATTGGTAACCATGAGAACTTGTGACTGAAAAATTTACTAAACAGTATTTGATCATGCCTGGCAATTATTATAGAATTTTAACATTTTTGGTTTAAGGCTGTCTGGACGATATTCGCCTCAATGGCAAATACCTGCCACTGCCACCAGCAATGAACGGTACTCAGTGGGGTCAAGCCACAATGGCTAGAAACCTAGTTCGTGGATGCGAATCAAATACATCCTGCAAACATATTTTCTGCCCGGAACCGTTCGAATGTGTCGACCTATGGAACGATTTCGAATGCACGTAAGACGAGAAATTTTTGAGTCTTCTTTTTCTTAGTGAATACCTAATATTTCTAGCTGTGGCAAAGGACGCATTATTTCAGACGATTCTAAGCACTGCACTGACATAGACGAATGCCTCGACTTGCCATGTCTAAATGGTGGAACCTGTGCCAACTTGGAATCTGATTTACGCTACCGTTGCAGCTGTCCAGATGGATTCTTGGGAGAGAACTGTCAGTTAATTCAAGAAGGACAGATCTTGAAATTGTCTTTTAGTGCCATGACCATCATCCTGGCATGTTTGATAACTGTTTTAAGTAAGTATCATATCAATATCAAAATGTGCTACAAAACAGATTGAAAAAAAAATAGTATATTGTTGTATTAGGAGTAGAAGCTTTACTTTTTTGTGCTGAAGCAGTAGGTTTGCGAGCCGAACGTAGTGAGGCTTGCAATACTGCTGAAGCACAAAAAAGTGCTTCTACTCCGTATGCAACATGCTATTTTTTCTCCAAACGAATGGGGTAAGCTCGGGGCTAGATGAATGGTTAAGCGGCAGTAAAAGTACGAGCGGCACTAAAAGTACTTTTGCTGCCGCTCCAGCGGCACTAAAAGTACTTCTACTGCCGCTGCGGTTGCCTAGCAGCATGGAAATTAAATTTCTACCGCCTCGACAGGTGTTAACCCGTTGGATTTGCCTACTAGCATAGAAATTAAATTTCTAACATCTTGACAGGTGCTGACAAAGTGACGTTTTTTTGACGTTTGGAGAAAATAGTATATTGTTGTATTAGGAGTAGAAGCTTTACTTTTTTGTGCTGAAGCAGTAGGTTTGCGAGCCGAACGTAGTGAGGCTTGCAATACTGCTGAAGCACAAAAAAGTGCTTCTACTCCGTATGCAACACGCTATTTTTTCTTCAAGCGAATGGAGTAAGCTCGGGGGTAACTGGATGGTTAAGCGACAGTAAAAGTACGAGCGGCACTAAAAGTACTTTTGCTGCCGCTCCAGCGGCACTAAAAGTACTTCTACTGCCGGTGCGGTTGCCTAACAGCATAGAAATTAAATCTCTACCACCTCGACATGTGCTACCCTGCTGGATTTGCCTAGCAGCATGGAAATTAAGTTTCTGACACCTTGACAGGCGTTAACAAGGTGACGTTTTTTTGACGTTTGGAGAAAAAAAAACTTTTTCTAATTAAACCCTTTATGTCAAAGTATTATGCATCAGAGGGTCCTATTTGTAATTGTGACCAACTAAAATTGAGAAATCTTATTCCATAGTTTTTTTTAATTTCATTTCTAGTTTTGGTCTTGGTCTGTGTAATATATACGCATCATAGAAAGTCACGTAATAAATACCCAAATCCCAATGATGATGTAAGAGAAAACATAATTAATTATGATGATGAAGGTGGCGGTGAAGATGACATGACCGCTTTTGACATAACGCCACTACAGATTCCAATTAATACAGAACAGAAATGTGAGCATGAATTTTATTAATTACCTACCTTTATAGGTTTCTCAAACCAAAGCTTTATCAAAATATTATAATAGGATGACTAGGAAATATTGTCCTGATTAATTTATCTCAGTTAATGTGTTCTGTGGACTGATATTGTACTGATATTTATTGATATTTTCCATTGATCGATGGTCTGATTATTAACTGAATATCTCTCTTGCAATGTATGCACCGGCAGTCTACAAAATATTAAACTAAGATAAAACAAACACAAATGGTTGTTAATGCTTGCACTATAATTTTGCTAGTTCTGGAGCCAGAGCCACACCTGAATAGCCTAATCCAGGAATATAAAGACTTTGCTGACAAAAATATCAGCACACCTCCTTTCGATGACCTAAGAAACTATGCCTTTGAAGGAGGTGAAAGTACTACCAGATCACTAAGCTCTTTGGCTTCAAGTAAGTAAAAAAGTTAGGATTCGTTTTTGGTACTCATGCAACCTAAACTCAATATGATTACTCAAATTGTGCGTTCGAGTGTGAAACGTAGTTTTTGTAGGTATAGAAATGGTATAGGTATTGGGTGAGATGATGAGGTATAAACCATAATATTATACAACAGGGTGTTAATTTGAAAAATTTCAATGCGAATATCTCTGAAAGTAAAAAAGTTAGAAAAACACCTAATATGGTACAAATGCTATACAGGTAGGGGGACTACAATCACCATATTTTGGTTACGAGGTGAGTGGACACCATGCATCCCAACCGCAAAATTTTAAATGGAATACCGTGGGTAGACTTGTGCCGCATATATCCATTGTAAAAACGTACAAATGCTCGGGATGATCGTACACTGGTGCAGCACACGCGTTTGCTGCATCGGTGTACGATGATCCCGAGAACATGTACGTTTTTACATTGGATATATGCGGCACAAGTCTATCTGCGGTATTTACTTCATGTCGCACGTTGCATGTTGTATGTTTGATGTTTCATTGGTTTGGTGTACGACCGCACTAAGGGGCCCTCACTCACCCCATAACCAAAATATAGTGATTCTAGTTCCCCCTACCTGTTTAACATTTGTACCAAATTACGTTTTTCCAACTATTTTACTTTCAGAGATATTCGCATCAAATTGTTTTTAAATTGACACACTGTATATACCCACTCTGATGCTGTTATAATTATTATTCGTAGAACTTAAGAACCTTGAGAACCTCAGATTATAATTATCAATAAATCGATGTAACTTTTTTACAGGTAATTATAATAATTATTAGATAATAATAATGACCCTTTTTAGGTACAGACGAAGAGCAACAAGACTATGGCTATTTAGACGCATGGGGGCCCCGTTTTGACAAATTGGCTAATTTGTTCAATTCATTAGAAGAGGATCATATTGCCGCGTAGGATAAATAACAAAAAAAATTATTTGCAGTTAAATAAGCTGGTATATCACACAATTTATTGTAAATAAATATGTTTTAACAAATCTTATTACCTATATACTTATAAGTCGTTTTACTCCATTCAGAAGAAAATCCTAAACTTACGAATAATTGTCAGATGGGTTGTTAGGTTAAATGAGCGAGTAGGCGAAAAAGCGCTATAATGATTCGCTACGAGCTAAGTTGGTAGTCTGAAATTTACAAAAAGATTTGAAGCACCTGCTCAGGCTATCTACAGCGTCAATGAAAATGCATTATTACCATTTCATGAAGGAATATAATGATATCGTTTCACTTGGACAAAAATATTAACAAAATTCCAGGATTAATATGAGACGTATGTCAACCATTCTGCAAAAGATGTAGATAAATGGGACTTAAAATAATATGTTCCCAAACAATATTTTTTTTTTTATACGCTTCCTGCTCGTTTGATGTTGAATTTCGATTTATCTTCGATATTAAGAGCCGCGGGACTGTAAACGCGTTGATTCATCTAAATTTTTACCGAAAAATAAAAACTATGATGTTTGAATCCGAGCCATACAAGAATAAAATGGAGGCACTTATACTTGTGTTCTTCCAACGAGGTTTTCTTTTCCTGCAGGTGCACCTGATGGTATACCAATTCTTCGACGAACACAATCACATAAAATAGGTTTAAAATATCTTGTAAAACTTTGAGATTGATTTTTATAACGGGATTTTAATTGAATTTGAATGGATGGTTTCTGAGGTTTCCGAAAAACTCGACTGACAAGTTCGGATCTCTTTCTTAACTGGTTAGTGCGCTGATTTCAGGGTTGCGCATCGAATCTTCTCGTGCCATAGAACTTGAAATTGTATAGCGTCAAAATTTAAAATCAAGTACCTATACGAATACAGTTAATTTGGAAATTAAGCTATGCGCGAACACTTCTAAAAATAGATATTTTTGTATACGCTCCCAAAAATAGGTAGCTATTTTGCGGACTCATTTCTGTAATTTCCTTTTCGGCTTATTCTCTATAAAACTCTTCATAGCAACCAATGGACCTTTCTCATGCAATGAACAACAAGGATAGTTTATTGAGATTTTTGCAATAAAGAAAGAGAAATATATAATGACGCGCTATACCTGTGTGGAATGACTTTGATTGGTTCACTTGTCAAATTGAGCAATTTCGGGTATGTTTCTGTTTTTGTTTATTTTTAAACGTTAATATGACAAATATATGGGGGAAAAGTTCAGAAAAGTTTGAGAAGTACGAATTTACAAGTGTTAGCATAGGTACCTTTAATTGTACAATTATTATTGTATTTGATATAGAAATCGTTATTTTATTTACAATCATACATGTAATGTTGACTTTACTGACTTTTAAAAAGTTCGAAAATGTCACTTTTTTGACTTTTACTTCCGGCCCACGGGTCGAAAGTTTACTTTCGACCCGCGGGCCGAAAGTAAATGAAATTGTTAATTATTGTATTTTTTAGCTTTAATCCAAATGAAAATTTCAAAATTCGAATGATTGTAAATAAAATAGTATACATACCTTGGTGAAAAGTTTCATTACTGTCTCGAGATTTCAGTTAGACCTCGGCAGCGCCTCGGTCTAACTTAAATCTCTCGACAGTAATGAAACACTTTCCACCTCGGTATGTAATATACTATTACGAACCCTTCAAATCTCTGTTCCAACTTAAATTGTCTTCAGTCAGGTTGAGAGCTCGTAACCATTGTTTTCCTACATTTTGATTGCTTGGGAACTTGTGAAAAGAAAGGTTTGACTTGTTTTTCGCCTTACTCTGACAAGATCTCACACAACACATTTGAACCATTGTATAATAAACAGTTTTTGTAATAATTTTAAGCAATATTGATTGATTATTGAGGTTAGGGGTCAGACCGCGTTCATAAAATTGACAATTTTATTATCTGTCACCCACAAGCGGCGCGCGCAGCACAGGTAAAATGAGAAAGGTTCATTATTTTAAAGACTTATTAAAATTTATTGAAAAAAAATAGCTATTTACCTAACAAGTGCGGAAAATAAATTTTTCCGCACGCGGCTGCCGTTCACCGAACGACGCGTAGTGGAGTTCGGTGAAGCAGCCGAGTGCGGAAAAATATTTTCCGCAAGTGTTAGGTACAATATTTTTGCTACAGGCGTAAAAATGTAAAATTTTTCTTTTTTTTGACATATCAGTGCGGTAAAATTTTTTCCGCACTGACAGCCGTGCGGAATAGTTATTTACCTAACAAGTGCGGAAAGTGGTATTTTACCGCACTCGACGGCAGTTCCACGCCGTCGAGGCGCGGTAAAGTCACTTTTCGCACGTGTTAGGTACAAAATTTTTCCTTCGAGCGCATCATTTTTGGAATAAAAATCTAATTAGAAGAAAAAATGCATAAGAAGTAGCAACCATTGATTGATAAAAACAATAAATATTTCTATTTTATGCATCACGCGAAGGCAAATACATTAATTGCATGTTTTTTTTTTTAATTTTAATACAGTGTGGTGAAGAATTTTTATCTACGCCAGTGAGTTAAGAAGCTCTTAACTCACGCATTTCGAGTGAGTTAAGAAGCTCTTAACTCACGCATTTTCATTACCGCACCCAGTGAGTTAAGAAGCTCTTAACTCACGCATTTTGAGTGAGTTAAGAGCTTCTTAACTCACGCATTTTCATTACCGCACTCTTTCTTAGGTTTCTCAAAATAAAGTGACTATAGTGACACCAATATTATTTACTATCAAATTGATATGAAACCATTCATGGTGTTATCATGTTTTCATGGTAATTTGGTCAAGTTTATATTGTTATTTGAACAAAAGGTATTGAGGTGATTCAGGTAGCTGGTTTTTACAATAGGTAATACAATTATTATTGAAATTAATTTTTTTTTTGTGTTTTTAAAGTTAAGAGCGTATGGCGTAGATAAAATATTGTACAATACACGTGAGTTAACCCTCATTAAGATACTGTTAACTCACTTGTATCGTAAATATCTATTACAGCACTCAGTACGGTAAAGAATTTTTACCGCACTGAGAAAAACGGTATTGGAAATCAAGGTGAAAATAAATTGCAGCTGGTGACTGACTAATAAGTATATAATGACTTTCTCTACCGAGGAATATATAGAATTTTTTTTACTACTGCTAGTAGAAAATAAAAAATTTGCTTAAAATCTGTGCTCTAATAATTTTTTTTTGAACGCCCTCTTGAAAGTGCTGCCCTCTATCAACAGCTTATGATAAGTTCCTATGTACCTACAGAAACCTGTATTTTGTTTTAAATTGACGCATGAAATTGAAATTGGACCAATAGAAACATGACAATATCCTTGCGTCATGACGTCATTTTCATTATTGACCTAGGGACTTTTTCATTATTTTCATTATTCACCTAGGGAGAGAAATTCAATTTTTTCCTAGAAAAATAGATTGAATAATGACTATTTCTCAGGTAAGTAGTAAAAAAAATAAATTTTTCAGAGTTTGAGAGATGGAGATAAAGAGCATGAACAATAACAAACCTGGTGCAAAGAAAAAAAAAGCACCGGGATTTGATTTGGCATATTTTTATAAGATCTCTAAAAAATATTTACTTTCAAGCCCATGGTGAAACTGATCCATATTGAAACTTAATTATAATATGTTACAATTAAAGGAAAATATTGATATTCAAAAATTTTAACAAGTTTTTTATTTTTTTTTTAATCAAAAATATGAACGTATTAACCGTATTATTACAAGAGTGGGGTAAAGAATTTTTACCGCACTCTCAGTGTGGTAATAGATATTTACGATACAAGTGAGTTAACTTGTGTGGTTAAACAGCTCGTGCTACGCACTCGTTGTGCAACTTCCACACGCGTATCTTAATGAGGGTTAACTCACGTGTATTGTACAATATTTCATCTACGCCATATGCTCCTAACTTTAAAAACACAAAAAAAATTAATTTCAATAATAATTGTATTGCCTATTCTAACAACCAGCTACCTGAATCACCTCAATACCTTTTGTTTAAATACCAATATAAACTTGACCAAATTACCATGAAAACAGGATAACACTATGCATGGTTTCATATCAATTTGATAGTAAATAATATTGATGTCACTATAGTTTCAAAAACCTAAGAAAGAGTGTAGTAATGAAAATGCGTGAGTTAAGAAGCTCTTAACCCACTCGAAATACGTGAGGTAAGAGCTTCTTGACTCACTGGCGTAGATAAAGAATTTTTAGAGCACTGAGTGCGGTAAAGTACTCCCTACGACACGCAAATGAGTGCGGTAAAGTGTACTTTACCGCACGCGAGTAGGAAATAGCTATTTACCTGACAAGTGCGGAAAATGAATTTTTCCGCACGCGGCTGCCGTTCACCGAATGACGCGTAGCGGAGTTCGGTGATGCAGTCGCGTCGTTCGTATAACTGTGTTTGCGTGCGGAAAAGTAACACTTTGCGCACTTGTTAGGAAAATAACTATTTCTTACGAGCGTGCGCAAAATAGTACTTTTCTGCACGCATTTCCGGGCTCAAAGTTACATTTTTCCGCACTCAGTGCGGATACAGGCCTTATCCGCACTGAGTGCCGAAAAGTAATTATAATTGTCAAGCAACAATAAGTGCACCTGTCGACTTTAACACATGATGACAAATTTTTTCTCTGTTTCTAATCAGCCAACATCTATACAAACACCAAATATAAATTAACTTTGACACATTGTCATATTTGTTCTCTATATTTATATGCAAAAATCTACAAATTTTCTCATCAAATTTAAACGCTTTAAGATGAACATCTCTGACGAGGATTTTCTGTTATTTTTTTTTTGTTATGTAATTTTTTGATAAATGCATAGATTCCCTTCAAGTTAATTGAAAATAACTAAACAAATTATCGTTTTTTTTTTAAATTTCTGTTATTACCTACCTTATATGAAGCTCGTAGGAAAAATGTTGTTCCTAACACGTGCGCAAAGTGTCTTTTCCGCACGCAAACACGTATCCGAACTCCGCTTCGCGTCGTTCGTATAACTGTGTTTGCGTGCGGAAAAGTAACACTTTGCGCACTTGTTAGGAAAATAACTATTTCCTACAGCCGTGCGGAAAAATCGATTTTCCGCACTGATATGCGTGCGGAAAATGAGTTTTCCCGCACGGTGCGGTAAAACTTTTTTTTTTGACATATCACCGCACTGATATGTCAAAAAAAAAAAGAAAAATTAATTTTCCGCACTTGTTAGGTAAATAGCTATTTCCTACGAGCGTGCGCAAAGTAGTACTTTTCCGCACGGTACGCATTACCGTTCTCAAAGTTACACTTTTCCGCACTCAGTGCGGATACGGGCCTTATCCGCACTGAGTGCTGAAAAGTAAAAATAATTGTCAAGCAACAATAAGTGCACCTGTCGACTTTGACACATGATGACAAATTTCTCCTGTGTTTCTATATCAGCCAACATCTATACAAACACTGAATAATATATTTATCTTTCACGTCAGATATGTGTTCTCCATTTACATGCAAGAATCTACAAACTTCTTTCGCATCAAATTTAAACGCCTTAAGATGAACAGCTCTGACAAGAATTTCAATTTTCTGTTTTTTTGTTATGTAATATTTGGATGAATGAATAGGGTCGCTTCAAGTCAATTGAAAATAATTGAACAAATTCTCGTTTTTTTTTTTTTTAAATTTTTGTTTTTACCTACCTGATATGAAGCTCGTAGGCATTTTTTTTTCCTAACACGTGCGCAAAGTGTCTTTTTCGCATGCACACACTTATCCGAACTTCGCTTCGCGTCGTTCGTATAACTGTGTTTGCGTGCGGAAAAGTAACACTTATATTTCAAAATAGCTATTTACCTAACAAGTGCGGAAAATCCGCTACGCGTCGTTCGGTGAACGGCAGCCGCGTGCGGAAAAATATTTTCCGCAAGTGTAAGGTACAATATTTTTCCTACAGGCGAAAAAATGTATTTTTTTTTTTTTGACATATCAGTGCGGTAAAATTTTTTCCGCACTGACAGCCGTACGGAAAAACTTTTTCCGCACTGATATGTCAAAAAAAAAAGTTTTACCGCACCGTGCGGGAAAACTCATTTTCCGCACGCATATCAGTGCGGAAAATCGATTTTTCCGCACGGCTGTAGGAAAAATCTTTTGTGGTTGCTCGGTTGCTGTTAGTTAGGGATTTTTCTTGCAAAAAATTTCACTTCGATAATACTTAGTTACCAACCAACTGACAGGTGGATTTTTTCATTTTAGAAGGTTTGAAAATTGACCTTTTGTTTGGACGCCATATTGCGGTGCGCGAACATAGTTGCCAAAAGAAGAAAACAAAAATTACTAGCGGGCTGTCAACATTTGAAACAAAAGTAACTAAATGATTGATCCTCGCTATCCTTTTTGTTTGTTTACTTTCTCTCTCTGATTTATGAAAGACAATTAAAGTAAATAGGTAGAGTTCATTTCACCAAGGTTCATACTTGACCTTGAAACTTGAAAAAAAAGGGTTGTCGTAAATTAATTCATATGACACATTCAATTTTTTTGACAAATTAAAATGACTTCTGGTTTAATAACCGACGAACGTTTTTGACGTCATTGATTTGTTTCAATCAATTTTTATTTGTTAAACAAGGAAGGCAAATGCTGGTGGCAAGTACAAACCCTGGCGAAACAAACTTTAGATATTTATTATTTCTATTCTGCCCAATACAAGCTAAAATTGATGACTTTTCTTTCCAAAAACATTCGTAATAGGCGGAAAATTTAAATTTTAAATGTAATTTATTCAGTAACTTTTGTTTTTAATGTTGGCAGTACGGTAGTAATTTTTTTTTCTACTTTTGGCAACTATGTTCGCGCACCGCAATATGGCGTCCAACCAAAGGTCAATTTTGAAGGTATACCAATATTAATTAAGTACCTACTTTTAAAACTAAATGTCACTAAAAATCGTTGAAGAATATGACATTTATACACCAAAATCGAGAATAATATATTCTCAAACGAGCATATAATAGCCATTATTTGCGAGTAGAAGACTATAACTTTCTCTTCGAACTCTTCAAAAGAAAATCATTAGTTTTTGTAAGAAATAACAACTATCAAGTCCATAGAAAAGTGATTTATATTCTTGATATAGAACGCTCACTTCTGTTGGAGTCGCCAAGTGACATTTCCGACGGTGCTGCCATAGCGGTGTAGTCATTAAACTAATATTTGGCGGGCCGTTTGAATCTCGGTTTTAAATGACTGGTTTGACATTTCAATTATTTCAAAATAAGGCAGTGCTTCAAAACTTCATAAACTAAAATTTTATACATTTTATTTCCATATATTTATGTGAGAATCACTTTATGAATAAAATAGTCTCATACAGTGACACGATTTCTGAACATAAACACAGCCAACAAATAGAAGTCGCTGAGGGATTTAGTTATTTGCGTCAGACAAATGAAACGAAAGAACTATTTTGGAAATATTTCAACGAAGAGATAACACCATCTTGTGCTGAATCGTACCATGAATTAACACTCAAGCAAAGTGAAAATGACGAAAATTTTATTGTGACCTATTAATGCATAGATGAGCGTAAATAGTTTGTTGTTTGTTTGCAAGTATGCTTAGGAGCTTCCACACGTGCAGTTGCTCATTTACTACCTATAGGCCCGGTTTATTCATCTTCAGATAAACTTGCTGGTTACAATCTGCTTTCTATAATCCTATTGGTAGGCAAATAACTGACAGACCAATGGGATTACAGATTGTGTTTTTATCCCCCAAACTCCATACCTGACAGTTTATCAGAAGGTGAATAAACCGCCCCTCAATTTGAAAAAAATTATATTAGGATGATACTAGAAATAAAAAAAATATATTGCGTTTTCCATTGTTGTGGATTAATCATACCTACCTATGTTCAAAGGACGAATCGATGATATGGTAATGAAACCTAGAAAAAAATAAGTAGGTAGGGGTTCATAATACAAACTTATCTTCTAATGACACATAAGTGCATGAAAATATTATGTTGCAAGTTATTTAGCCATTTAGATAATTTTGTAATGACTATTATATAATATTTCAAAAAATTAAGTGCTTATTGATAAAAAAAAAACAATATCTTCTTATTATAAATAGCTGAAGAAATTTCATTCTATCTAGCATATTAATGTTAGGTGTGCATGTAATTGTTAGTTTTTATACTAATTTGTTTTCAAATATTAATATCACTTTTAGAATCCGCGACAATGAATTTCGCTTATCTCATTGTATTAGTGGCACTCGTAGTAGCCTATTCCCAAGCAGCTACTTTCACTATCAACAACAAAGATCAGGGACCGATTTGGATCGGTATCCAAGGAAATCCTGGTAACGAAAATTTGGCTAACGGTGGATTTAAGCTCCCTCAAGGGGAAACGGTAAGTAAATTAGTAAGTACTGGTTTAACTACTTAAGCTGAAAGTAAACTTGTCTCAGCGATCAGTTGACTCCGCTGACAATTGGCAGGGCCGATTCTGGAGCCGGACGTATTGCAATGATGACAGTAATCACTGCTTAACTGGTGATTGTGGTAACGTAGTAGAGTGTAATGGGGCTGGCGGTGCTCCCCCAGTTACCCTAGTTGAAATCACACTTAAAGGCTACGGCGATTTGGATAATTACGATATCTCATTGGTCGATGGGTACAACACTGAGGCGTCAGTAAGTAACAATTTTATTGAAAATTGAATTATTATATAACAGACTATAAAACTTCTGAATATTGTAAAATTTTTGGCTTGATATTGATGGTTGGGCTTGGTAGCTCAGTTGGTAGAGCGTTGCACTGGATATGCGAGAGTCCCGGGTTTAAATCCTAGTCGAGGCAAAAAAAAAATCATCAATTTTGATTGAAACGTCTGCATGCCACTAAAGTTGAACACACTGTAAATTATATAGCAGACGATAAAACTTCTAAAAATTATAGTTTTATTGACGTTTAATTTATTACAAAAGCTTAAATTATAAGTCATGATAATCCTCGTATTCGTTTACTTTCTAAAGCCCCCAATCAATCATTACATCTGTGTATTTATAGCTACACAAGCGAAAATATTACCCCCTGTATTACTAGTGTTTGGGTGTCCATCGAAAACGTACCGCAGGGAATACCACCCAACTAACATTTTTCGCAGCTCAAGGTTTTATTATGAGGTAACGGATATTTATAAGGGCTTTATAAGAAACCTTTATTTTTATAATGGTTTTTATAGTTTTATAAGAAAACTATTGATGTTACAAGTTTTGTAAGACGTCCAATAAATATCAAAATACTTTAAGTTTTATAATTTGGTATCGAAAACGTTTCCGTTACTTTATCCATAAAACCTTTGGTGTTGGGTACTTCTGGTTTTTTCAAAAAGGTTTTATAGCGTTCTTAAAAACCTTATTATAAAACTTTGACTCTTGGGGTTTTATAGCTTACTCCGTGAAACCCTTATAAATCTCGAAGCAGCTGATATTCTACAGCAATTATTAAACCTGAAGAACGTTATAAAACTTATAGGCCCATTAACAACTTTTTTATGTAGAAAGAGAGGCTGCTATGTTTTTGAGGTTAGGATGTTTATTAATAATTATTGTTTTCCTAAATATGAAAATATGTCACAAGCTAAGAAAGAATGGTAAAAATTGAATACAGTAGCAGCTTGCGAAATGAACCAGGCGATAAATATTCCAAAACTCCGAATAATCTAAAAGAAATAGACCAAAAATTTGGACTTGCATCACGACAATATTTTATTGGCACAGAACAGAAGCAAATTACAACAATCCGATTTAAGACAATGATCTGTTTTCTCAAATATAAGTTCAATAATTAATGGCCCTTTTTTCGAATAAACAATAACTGAAAGTGAAGTTATAATTGCATGTTTGACATTTGACAATTTGTCATTTGCGCACTAATAGTTTTCAATGGGTTTTCCAGTTACTTTTAGTTTTATACCGGTTACGAAGGCTTTTGTGCATACCTTTTTGGTAACCTATAAACCTATAAGTATCACAAAATCACCTTAGATTTTATTGCAACAGCAATAGGTGTTTAATATTACTTGAATGCCCATATAAAACTATAGGTTTTTAAAAAGCAGACCTGGCGAACATGGCGTCCGTTTATACAAGGTGTCCCACGAGGTTTTTCCCAAATGATAACTTCAGAACGCATCATCGTATGTTTCACTGTATAATTTTTCATCATTTTCTTCGACAAAGCCCTAACAAATATGGCATTGCCGATTTTGTCATTTAATTTTCTAACGAAAAATGCCATAATATACCATGCGTGACATTTAAGATTCGAAAGTTGACGTCACTTGACCGAAATTGATGCGAGAGTGGTGAAATTGGATGACAACGGTAGAAGCGGCACAAAAAGTTACCCAGATCCTCAAAATTTCAGTTATATTGGATGACGTATTCCGAAGTTATCCCCTGGGAAAAACTTCGTGGGACACCCTGTATATGGCGGCCATTTTTATATTTTTTGAATTGACATAAATATCTACATAAAGAAGATAGAATATCGCATTTTACGCAATATTACTGAACTTGGAGACATATTTTTTCAAAAATATGCGGTCAATAAATGTTCTGCATTTTAATTGCGAAAAAAAAAAATCATGAGATATAGTTTCAATTTTCAGGTTTTTGCTAAAAATAAGTTTTAAAGTGCTTAAAACGAGGGCGTTTCAGTTTTAGGAAGGGTAAAACATAAAATTATTCGATAAATTTTTCGTGCCCAATAAAATTAAGTCGTCATCGGAAAATTTAGAGTTCAATATTTAGTGTATAAAACATTCTCATAATAATAACAAAGCAAGAATCCATTGCTGTCAACTTCAAAGTGAAAGCAAAATATTAAATATATTTTAAACAAATGATATGGAAAGAAATGAAACGAAAAGGGGGCATTTTTTGTTTGGTAAAGACTATTTAGGTTTTATATCGGTAACGAAAAGTTATTCCTTGCCATTATAAAACTCATTTATAGTTTATAAAGGTAACGACAACCTCTCAGTTCCAAATAAATCGCGAGTAAAAGTTTTACACGGGGACCAAAATTTGGTCCCCGTTACCTTTATAGGATTCTCCATTTAAGTGCTATAAGCGTTTTATAAGAGTAACGAAAACGTTTCGCGAACAATTGATAGGTTCTCAGAATTTATAAAATAGGTAATTGAAACGTAACCATTACCAATATAAAACAAAAAATGTTAGTTGGGCAGGCTGGGAAAGATCTTTTCAATAAAATCCAAAAACACGCCTCAACTTTGTCAGAGGAACAGTTTTTGACGTTTCAAGCAAAACCTTCCACCTCCGAAGTGGGGCTGTCATCCCGAAAAATTTTTCAAATGGGAATCGGGGTCAAGCAATACGTTTGACGACAAATGCAAAAATCGATGTAATTTCACTTGAAAACTTATCATATTAGTCAAGCTCATATTTTTGTCCGCCAACGTGCATGCAGTGATACAGGTTTAAACCGTTGCCATTCATTCTGCACTTGCGGTGTCACTTCGCGACATACGTCAATGATTCGTCCTCGTAGATCTTGCAATATGTAGGTGAAATGCTATAAAGTTTGTTTTTTATATGCCCTGTTACAAATTATTTATAATTATTTGATACTTTTAGACAAGAGAACCTATAGGGTCATGGAATTCAAAAATAAAGATAACGTGTACCCCCTTTATGTGCAAATGAAACCACTCAAATTCCAACAAACAAAAATTTTATTTTCACAATTTAAATATTTGCAAACGTAACAATGCAAGTAACAAGCTGCTTTTGAAAATTTGACAGTTAGCAGTTTGGTTGTTCTGATGACACACTGATACTGTATGTACCTTTTCCAATCCGGAGCTCTTCAATGCATGTTGGGGTTTCACTTCCGTGAACTGGAGCTCTTTGTGTTGTTTTCTGTTTTCAGGAAGGAGGATAGATTGCTGGTGTGACGTCACTCCAGCTGATCCAGACTTTAAATAGTGATAATTATGTCGAGTAGGTACCCAGGAGAAAATAAGGCAGTATCAGGTTCACCAAGATTTGGAATATTAAATCCCTGAATTCTGTTAAAAAGCGAGTGTCTTGCAAAAAAGATTTAGAATGGAATTAGTTTATTACAAAACTATAGTGCGCAGACACTCCTTTTCAACAGAATCAAGTAAGTATGAGTAACTATTGCAAATTGGAAAAATATTTTAATATAAAAAAAAAATTAAATAAGTGAAAATAATAATAAAATAATAGTAGATAGTAAAATAGGTAATAACAGCAAAATTAAATTGAAATGCTCATTTTAATTGAGCAGGATGCTGCTTTTCTGGCAGTCGCAATAAACAGGCAAAATTAAAAAAAAAAAAATGGAAAAATTGAATCAGACAAAAAATTAAAAAATAAATCTCTAGATTTTCCCCAAATAGAAAAATTTTCTTTTTAAGTTAAGGTACCTACTATAAACAAGATAAACCTGAGGGTGAAATCAATCAAATCCAGGAACTGTCAAAATTCTTGAGATGTTTCAATTAAAACTTTTTGAATGAATTTTTGACCTATCTGGATTTCTATTTCAAAAATTACACCCTTTTTCAACACTCTTCTCCTCAAGAAAATAATTGAAGGAGTCAAACATAAAATGGCTATACAGGCCTCTGCCTGGATTCAGTAAAGAGTTGATAGGGATGGACACACAAATTTGGTTTGCACCTTCTCTATTTAGAGCAAATGGTCCATTAATCCCACGCTAACAATTGATTCTGAAAACCAGAGCAGCAGTACCTATTTATTAGCCCAAAACTCTGAATTGACTTACCTCAGAAAAACGTGGAACTACCAATCACACACAAAATAGAGGCATACAATTAGATAAAAAAATTAAAATATATCTAGTATTTATATTTCAAAAGTAGATAAGATAAGATTTATCAGGTAAAAACTCAACAGTGATATGGTAGTATACACTGATGGTAAAGTAACTTGAAAAATTATTAAGGGAAAATCTAGAAATCTGAAGGAAAAATTATAAAAATGAAATCAACTTGCCTGTCTACCGATCGGCCAGAAAAGAGATCGTTTTAGAAGCAGGAAACCAATCTTGTATTTTTTTTATACTTAACTGCGTATTAACCAGATCAACCAATCAGAACACAACACTCAACACACACAAAAGACCGTGCTCACTGAATCAATGAAACACCACGTTGATTAAAAAAAAATAGATAAAAACACGCTAGAATTATTTTAATAGTTTACAAATTACAATAATTTAAATTAAGGTTATGTTGAAAACAAAAAGCCACTAATTAATTAGGTCATTAAGCCAAAAATAATCATTTCAGAATCAGAAGTTAGGGGAAGACAGAAATATATCTATTTGCTAAAAGTGAGATAAATATAATTACTTTAAATGAAAATACGAATGATTGTCAATGAGAAATAATAAAAATCACATTTAAAAAAAAAGATCTATCAGGTACTAGATGGCGGCACCTTCTTTCAATAACAGATATTTGAACACGTTACGTAAATGACAAATTTATCATAACAGCCAAACAGCCCCTACAAAAAAAAAGGATTTAAGTCGGGTAACCGAGGTTGCTACTCATTTGCATCCCTGTGTCCTATCCAACGTTCTGGAAATGTTCCATTTAAATAATTGCGCA